GCTTAAAAGATTATAAAAATCGGTCCATTAGAACACAATATAAGAGCTGGCAAAGATTAGTATTGGGTCGAGATTTCCTTATGTAAGAAGAGTACAATGCGTTTATAATGTACTGAACAAAGAGAAGACAGTAAACACGTTGCCAAACGTATGTAATAAACCGAGAAAGTGTGCACATCGCTAAGAGACGTGGAAGGGGATATAGCAGATTTGTCGCAGTTGCCCTGTCGATCCAATCAATACCTCTGTCAGTACTTAGAGTTCTAGGGAAGGTGTACGTCATCGTTCAGCTTCACGATTTAATTACGTCTCGTGATACTTAATTTGTTTATTTATTAACGAGTCGTTGTAATTTTCCCTATAGCTTGATTTTTTTAAGTGCAAGCTAGAAACACTTAAATTTTTGGTAAAAAATAAGTGGAATTGAGTGGGTGTTCGATAGTGGTCGCGCTATTAGAACTCTGAATTCAAAATCGATACCTCGAAATCTATTAGAAATAATATATTGCAGTTTTTCAAGAACTTTGTTAATATTTTTGCTGTATTTTCTTTTTAGACAGTATGTGAAAATCTTTATCAATAAAAAAATTACACGATTGCTGAAAATTACTATGCTCTGAAAGTAAATGGATAGATTGTTTACAATTTTTGAATGGAAAAAACAACCTTATCGAATTTTTCTTATGCAAACATATTGTAAAATATCCGATCTTGAAAATAAAAAAAAGTTTCAATATCTAAAGTGGTTCTTGAGTTATGGCCTGTTATGTGTTAAAAAGTTGAGTTTTTAAATTATCGCGATTACTGACGTTTTCTCGTTATAAAAAAAACGACACCCTAACGATATCCTTATAATTCCATTTCAGATGCTCAGAAACATGTCTAATGATTTTATCTAGTTATCTCTTGAAAAAAAAAAGTCTTTTAAAAATAAGCGGTTTGCGATCGTGATTTTGTTTACTTGATAGGGAAAGGCGTATCGGCAACGCCGCAACAGCACAGTGTCGCGCGTCGCGTCGGTCGGTCGGATTTCTCTCACTCCGACTTAATAGACAAGTAGTCTCATTCTTAAACAAAAAGGGTCCATTTTTTAAAGAAAAGATCATATTTTATTTAATAAATAAATTATAAAAGATTATTATAAAATATTATCCCAGGCCTATACAGGGTAGTTCGAACTGTATTCCGGAAACTTCGGCAGGATATTCTGCAAATAAAAATAAGTTTGGTTTAAATCGAACTTTTTGTTCGTATAAAATGTATGTCCTAAAATGCTTAGTTTCGGATATACAGGGTGTAGAAGTTTCATTTTTATTTCGATTTTTTCCAAATAATTTATGAAGTACCTAACGTCAATATTTGGATCAAAACTGGTGTCTGGGTGTTTTTTAACATGAGAAATTTGATTTTGATATCAACATACCTCCTATTTGTAGGCGACGCCACCTACGTGTGTTTTAACTGTTTTGAAACGTAATAACTTTTTGTCCGTACCTGTATAAAACTACTGAGGGAAAAATATACAAATCTATGACTTTTTACATAAAAATATATCTAAAATATGCAAAAATCGCAACCCTTCTCAAGATATTTAGAACAGAAATTGTCAATACATATCATTATTGACATTAATAAACATATTGAGTAGATAGTTATTTCACTGAAATACATTTTGAATTTTTTTTTTTTAATTAATCATAAATTTTTCTGAGAAAATTATGATAAAACAGTTTGCGTTGAACTTTTGACAAAAATATTTGAAATTTATGATTTCAGTCTAATAACTATTTAGTCAACGTTAGTTTAATTTATTATGTCAATGATAACAGGTATTGATAATTTCGATTCCAAATATCTGGAGAACCATTACTCGTAGCAATTTTTACCAAAAGACCTTTTTTACGCCTCAAAACAGTTAAAACACATGTACGTGCCCCCTACAAATAGGAGTCATGTTGAAATCAAAATCAAATTTCTCGTGTTAAAAATTCCCAGGCGCCAATTTTCATCCAAATATTGACGTTACTTCGGAAATTATTTGGAAAAAATCGAAATAAAAATGAAACTTCTACACCCTGTATCTCTGAAACTAAGCATTTTACGACATACATTTATACGAACTTTTTTACTTATTTTTATCTGCAAAATATGCTGCCGATGTTCCCGGAATTCAGTTCGGACCACCCTGTATAATATAACTCCTGACTACTGACAAAGTATTTAGCAATCGGGATTATCTCCAACACAAAAATAATATCAAAAAGATCTCAAATACATATCAAAGTTTTAGAGAAAAAGTATTACTTATTAATCACGATGGGTATTTCAGACCTTTACGACACAATTTTTTAGTCAGTCAAAATTACTAGCCTTCAAAAATATAGTTTACTATTAAACAAAATGGTAATCATAAAATTTAAAATTTTGTTATAAAACTATAAAGTGAATGCGAAAAAGTTAGAGAGCTACATCCAGTCAGAATTTCTAATTTTCGCCTGAATATGTTTTGTAAATATTCCAACTTGAATATTATACTCACCGGCACAAAAAACGGGTACCTTAAAATTTTGATGTAATTTAAAGTTTTATGTATTGTAGTCTAGTGGACCGATTTTGACGATCTTTAAGCAATTTGCACCTATTTTATTTGACTTTTTAGTATCTCTTTCCAAATTAAAAATATAAATTTCCATCTGTCAAGTATACGAGGAAACACAAAATGTTGATATATTGGTGAAAATTTCCAACACCCTGTGGAATACATTAAAACAGCAAGAAAATCAATTTACTATACAGTAAATTTAACTAATTTACTATGCAGGTGTCTTTATTATCGAGTAAAGACTCGATAGTTTATTTTTGGTTCATCTCGTTAACTTTATATTTGGAGATATTCGCTTTTGAAGAAAGCACTAACGTTTTTTCGTAATTTTTACATTTAAAACCATGCCTTAGCTTTTGGGCCCAGTCAACAGACCTATGAACTAGTGTTTGTGAGGACATTTTAGGATATTTTTTTATACATTGAGGATATTTATTATTGTAGGACAGCTAACCTAGCATATATGGTTTTAAGTCCAGAAGTTGTGCTCGCTGTATTTGCTTTAATTGAAGATGATAGAGATCAAAATTATGTTGAGAATAGATATAAGTGCAGTCGCTTCTAGACGCTTCGAGCAGCAGTCGCTTCGAAACAAGTTCATATGAACCTTCGTATGAACACTTCCAGGAACCTTCGTATGAACACTTCGAATCAAGACGATCGACTTATTTAAGTTTATGGCTAAGAAATCGCCGGCGCTGTTTACCAGCTTTTCAAATATATAATGAATTGCACCTATGGAACGTACAGGGTGGGTCAAATTCAAAGCTTTTAAAGGGAAACACCCTATTCTATAGGAGATAGACAAAAACTAATATCGGTGTCTGGAGCTCAATTTTTCTCAAAAACATGATAGTCAAAACCGCACATCGATATCTGTTACCGTTTATTTTTCACAAATCGCTGTAACTTTTTTGCTATGGAAAATTTTGTATTTTTATGTAAACATTTCCAAAGCAAATTTTTGAAGCCAATTTCGGGAATAATTGCATAGCTAACCAAGATCTCAGCCGTTGGCCATCGAGGCCGCCGGACTTTTTTTACCAGATTTTTATCTTTGCGGAAGAATAAAGGTCTTTATTTTAAATTGCACGTATAATCTGGACAAGAATTACGAGTCAATGAATTCCGCGAGAAATGTTCAAAAACGGTCCCATCTGTCAATAACAGAAGACAGTCGACATGTCGAACACTTATAGCAAAATCTCATGTCTTGGTTTGCTATTAATTTTTATTGTTATTTATATAGTTTAAATGTGTTGATGTTGTTAAATATAGTTGAAATTGTTATAAAATTCTGCATTTCTCATTGCAAATATTGTTTTCGTTTTAATTGCTGCACACAGCTATAATTTTTTGCATTACAGCCGGCATCGTTCAAATCCTACTTATTCAAAGTGGGTGAATTTTTAAAAAATCTATATCTCGAAAAGGAATCGAGCAAAATACGAAGTATGCTATATTTTTGGAAAAGTAATTTTAAATTCTTTTCAATTAATTAAAAATATACAGGGTGTCCCATATAAAAAAATCAAATTTTCTGTTGATAATTCTTAAATTATTAATTTTAAAGAAATTAGACTTATAACATTAAATTCTACGTAAAAAGGTGTTTTGGAAATGTTTTCCTAAAAATACAAAATTTTCCATAGCAAAAAAGTTACAGCGATTTGTTAAAAATGCACATTTTTGAAAAACACCCTGTGACTCTGAAACGGTAACAGATATTGATGTGCGGTTTTCACCATTTTATTTTTGATAAAAATTGAGCTCCAGAAATAGATATTACTTTTCGTCTATCTTCTATAGAAAAGGGTGTTTCCCTTTAACAGCGTCGAATTTGACCCACCCTGTACATGTAACTGAACGGACTGTAAGAAGAAGATTAAACGAAGCAACTTTTATGTCAAGAAGGTCTGCTCCTGGACCACAACTACAACCAAAAGCAAAGACATGATTTTAATGTAAAAATTACGAAAAAATGTTAGCGTCTCCTTCAAAAGCGAATATCTCCAACAAAAATAAAGATATTGGGATGGAACCAAAAAATAAATCATCCAGAAAGAATGTACCTAGATGACAAAAAATGATTTTTGAATTCCTTGCTGTCTTAACATATTCCACAGAGTGTTTCAAACTTTCACCGAAATATCAACATTTTGTTTTCTCTGGTTGATTGACAGATGGGAACTTTCATCTCTAATTTAGAAAGAGATACTAAAAATAAATTAACTACATATTGCTTCAAAAATCATCAAAATCAACCCACTAGAATAAAATATATTATAGGTACTTTAAAAAACATCAAAATTTTAAGGTGGCCGTTTTCGCGCCTGTTAGTGTAGATAGCAAAATGTGGCTTAAAACTAATTAGTGTTTTTTACAACAAATATCTTACCAGGTATACTAGTTCCTAAAGCGACGAACACTATGGCGGTCACTCCATCTCTAATACCGAGTGTTGCGCCAAAGTGGGACGCTACGTCTCCTATCACTGCTGTAACCACGCCTATACAGAATATTGATACCACAAAGCACAAATATCCCTTAAAAATACCTGAAATACAAATAGAAATTAGTGACTCAATAACTTAAAAAAAAATAGTAAAATATGGTTGTAGTTAATAAATAATGTAATGACTGTGATTATCAGAAAATATATTAATGTAAATGCAAATTAGAAATTTATACAAGGTGTTTTTTAAGTAGTTTTAAAAAGTTCAAAATGTGATTCCTCATATGTTTTTAAGGGAAAACCTTCATATAAATATGGAGTCTCAAGTTCCTCCTTTTTCATTTATAGAGTGTCAAAGATTTAAAAATAATCAAATTAAATCGGCTTAATATAAATAATAGTACGCCACTTTTTTTTCGAGAGAACCAATTTCTTTTTCTTGGATGTCAATATTTTTTAACAAACTTCATCTCTTAATTTTTACTCGTATATTGAACAGTTCTCGAGAAAAAAAAAATTATAACCAGTCTTTTGATATTAACGTTATGCTCGTTTTCTATCGATTTTGAGATATGCAATGTAGTTGATTTTTTTTCAAGAACCGTTCGATGTACAAGAAAAACTCAAGATATCAATCTTGTTAAAAAAGAATGGATAATCAATAAAAGAATAAAAAATAACCTTCTTTAAAAAAAACAGTGCCGCACCATTTATTTTAATCAGATAATCCAGGAGGTGTGTGCACACCGACGCCACTAGTTCAAGTAGGAAAGCAAAAGTTAATGAACTGCCTTTATATGGAAACACAAAATCGTAACAAAATCTCTGCTGTGAAACATTGCAAAACAGTTTCGAAACAATGATGGAGTTAGTTCTTGAAATTAATTCGACAAATTTTTCATAGATATGTTTCGTAATATAAATCACTTTTTGTTTCGAAACGTTTTTCCAACATATGGTTTCGCTACATAAGCAATAAAGATCTTAGTGTCACAATTTTTTCAAAACATTTTAGAAACAGACGTGGCTCACATTTACAAAGGTTTTATACCCGTTTTGTGCCTGAAAAGTTTCTATAATTTATTTGATATTCTGTCAGATATGAGAACATAACCTTGCTTTAATTTTTTGGATTTTGTTCTGCAGTTTTTGGAAAATGGGGAAGAATTAAGAATTTACATTCTTCAAGTTTTTATAGTATAATTAAAAAAGCAGAAGAAAGGACATATATAGTGATTACAAAAGAATGACCGAAGAAAAATATTATCAGTAAACGTTTTTTTATCTTGTTTCCACAATAGAATGCATGTTTTTATGTTTTAATTGTGTTATAATAGTAAATAAAAAATGTTTTAATTATTTTAACCAGAAGTTTTGATTGGCGTTGTTGACAGGTGACTAGTTCGAAATTTCTACACAGATAGCGCTCATTGCGTTCAGTGCATTCTCATTCATTGCGTTCATTCAACGAAACTAAATCGAAACATTTTGGAAACATATTTAAGGTTTCCATTTATTGTAGATTAATTTTCAAAATACGAGATTCTCTCTTTTTAAACACAAATATGGTATAATGCAGATGATTTGTGTCCCACTCCATGACAATTTTATAAAATAATGAATTAAAATTCCGCCATGTTGACCAGTGATAGCGTTTTTAACTAAAAAATGTGTTTTTATCGATTGAACATTTAAACTCATAATATTACATTAATTTATATAATTTTATTTTCAGCACCATGATATAGAAATAAAATAAAAATCTATATTTCAAACAAAAATATTTTGTAGCAATAAATAATGATATATAGAAAGAGCATTAAACATATAAAAGTACATTACTAAACTAAACGATGAATTTGATTTTGGCAAAAATTTTTTTTGGTGAAAAGAACTTAAAAACAAAGATCTTAAGATAAAACAAAATATGGCAGAAATCAACATTGTTGTTGATGTTTGCTTTCATTTTGAAATGCACACACAGCCATAAGCTATTTTAATTTGGTATTTTGTTTCTCCACGTTTAGAAACAACGGTTGCACAAAACGGGAACATCTTGGTCACAAATTGCAGAAAATGTTTTGAAATGGTTTCTCTAAAAGTTTTGATTCCGCATCGAAATTTTTTTAAAAACGTCTAGTGCCACCACATTGGAAACACGTGTAATCAAGCCATATAAAATATATAGGTTTCGAAAATGTTTCCTATTTGCAGCATACCGTCTCCATTTTGTGTCAAGAAACAGAAACAATTATTGGAAACATTAACTAAAATGTGTCCAAAAATGCTACTTGGGCAAAACTAAAGAAAATAGTTTTTAAAGTAGTTTTGCGAAATATTGCGATATTTTTTTTATCACCCTGTAGATGAGAAGGGAAGTACTTTAAAATCCATGTTTTCCGTGAATACATATTAGGAAACACACCCTAATATTTTTTAGACTACCCATTAGGAAACCATGTATATTCTACAAAAATAAATTTGGGTTTCGTTGATTTTTTGGTTTAGTTTAATTATTGTAATTAAACTAAATTAGATTGTAATTAGCAGAAAATACATTAATGTAATTGCAAATTAGAAATTTATATATTCTATAAAAATTCATTTTAGGTTTTGTGTTCTATCATAATTTACCAAATCACGATGAACACTTTAATAATAAAAAATTAAAAACATAATTTTATCATATTTTTAATTCCTAAATCCTGACTTCACCTCAGTCATTTTACTATTTTTATAGAGTTTAATTTAATAAACTCAAAATATCGATAGTAATGGAAGAAAACCGATTCTGCACCTATCTTAATGGAGGTGGGTGCAATATTCGCATTCTCTCACTACATCGATATAATAAATAATCAATTACTATAAATAACATTAATAACAAATTCGACAAACCAAACATAGAAAAATGTGAATATAAAGATCACTAATATAGAGATCAATCTCAACTTAAAGATATTTTTATCATCTCTATGATAAGAGCACATGTAAATATGATATTTACGTTTGTAGTGAATGATTCACTACATCATAAACTAAAAAATATAAAGTGTCATTGAAACCACTAATTTATTCGACTAATAGCGCGGTTCTGAATGAAGCTTTAAAATCTTACATATTACTGTGACAAATTACCACTCTCATGGATGCCTCTCGTTTTACAGAATACATGCCATATTCATTGCTGCCAGAAAACACATCTAAAGAAATCTTTGGAAACTCGTAAAACGGTTGACGTTTTATAGAACAAAACCACTTAGCTTTATTAACAGTGGCTGTCGATTTCTTGCACTATCATCAGCTTTCTTTACGTTGCCGGAAATCGGTTCGAAATCAAAATCGCTTGAACTAAACGACTTGCAATTTCATTTCAGAAAATTGACTACTTCCATAATAGAACCGGATATGACGAAACATTTTTTGTTCGAAATCCTCGTTTCATGCCAATCGGTTTTGAATTCAGTTGGATTTATTACAAACGAGTTTGTGTGTCAGTCGCACATTGCAAAAATCAAAATGTCGTTTAGCGAATAGTGATTAAGCTGTCTCAATTCCACGGTGTAATGGATATTTGAATGGGAGTAAAAATGAATATTCGATCCTAATAGAAAATTGATAACAAAAATAATTTGTTCTTGATACAGACAAAAGCGTTTAATCAAAGAGCGAAACGTATCGTTAAAAAAGAAAAGTATATTTTGTTCTATACACATCAGAATAATTACGAGAATTCGATACATTTAATTTCTTATGCAGTTTTTCTGTTTATACAGGGTGATTCACGGAAATGGTACGTTAGATGTTTATGGAGAACTGCTGATAGGATTTTGATAAAGGCACCTACTCCATCCGTCAAAATTATTTTCAGTGTTACATTGTTGCCGGTTCATACTAAAAATAGTAGCATCTTTGTTATTTTAAATCGAACACCTGGTATATTACTACATTTTCTACTTTTATATCTCATAAGTTTATAATAATAATTCTAACCTATCTCTAATAGTTTTCGAGATAAAAAATAAAACGTGTATAATTATGTAAATTTATTTCCGTTTATATGAACCGTATGATCGAATAAAAACGGCGTCAGCGATGGCTATGTAATGAAGATCGCTGTCATTTTAGATGTAAAATTATATGGGAAATGTCATCGATCGTCATTTCCAAGCCAACTGTATGCCGTTTTTTTCGATCATACGGTATAATGGTTTCGTTTAAAAAAAATCGCTACGATGACAAATATTTAAACTTTATACCATCACTTTATTTATACTTTTGCATAATTTCTGAAATTGTCATGGTAACTAAATTCTTGAAATAAAACTATAATCATAGAATTATTATTTTTTTAACAACTCTACTTAAAACAGGAAAGTTTAGATAAAGAAACATGATATAATCGATAAAAAGCAATTTTATTTACTTTTCGTTAATAATAATATACATAAGCTTAGATTTAAAATGAAAATGATTTAGGTAATTTTTAAAGAATGATATAATTAAAGATAGATAATGAGCCTATTGATTTTTAAAGAATATATACAGGGTGTCCCAGAAATAAGTGCAAATATTTTAAAGGGTGGTAGATCTGGTAAAAAAAACATTTTTTCTCTTTACCATTTTTCCAATAAGTCCAAAATAGTTATTATATTAACATATAGAGTTATTTTCTTTGAAAATTTAAACAAAAAATGCTTTTTTGCTTAAATTTTGAGAACCACTGGATTTTTTCTGGATTTTCTTTCATGTAAATTTAATATACTCCCTGTGTTACCATATTATCATGAAATTATGCTTTTTAACTTAAATTCCGAATTTTCAATTTTTTTTTTGCAAAAAAACTACATAAGCGTGTTTCTGAGGCCGAAATATACTACCAGTTAAAATGTTTGCACTTATTTCTGGGACACCCTGTATAGTGTTGAATATAAAATAACAAATTTTTGCAATTTTATAGCAAACGGAAATAAATATTTCTTTTGCTTCTCTTGTATAATATCCAATAATAAAAGATAGATATAGGTTGTATAATAGACAAATTGTGGATGTGAAAGTAGTCTCAAAAAATATAACAATATAATGGATGTTCCATTTAAAAT